AAATATGGAACCAGTCTACATGCCCATTGACCAACGAGTGGACAAAGAAAATGTGGTGTATATACACCATAGAATACTACTCAGCCATAAAAAGGAATGAAATAATGGCATTCGCAGCAACCTGGATGGAGATGGAGAACATTATTCTAAGTGAAGTATCTCAGAAATAGAAAATCAAATGTCATATGTTCTCACTTACAAGTAGGAGATAAGCTATGAGGACACAAAGGCATAAGAACGATATAATGGACTCTGGGGACTCAGGGACAAGGATAGATGTGGGTGAGAAATAAAAGACTACACATTGGGTACAGTGTACACTGCTCAGATATAGGTGCACCAAAATCTCAGAAATTACCGCTAAAGAACTTATCTGTGTAACAAAAAAAAAAACCACCTCTTCCCCAAAAACTATTGAAATTTTTAAAAAACTTAACTTAAAATAATTCATGTGTACATATGTAAGTGGAGCCTCATATTAGGCAGAGATTTGGTTCCCAAAGAACAAGGTAAAAATTCTATATGGTTAAAATACATTACTCTTGAAAATTTCTTAAATTTTCAATAAAGAATAGCATATGAGGTTTTGTGCCTAAACCTGTACTTTCATTCTGAGGCAAACTAAATGTTAAGAACGACCGAGCTAGATGGAAAGAACAAAAGAGAAATCTATACGTGTATTTTCAGGCATTCAAAGCATTCTGTATTTAAGAAAGCTACCAAGCCCTAGAGAATAGCTAGAAAATAGGCAGAGAATTTTAAATGTTCTCTTTTGCCTGCCAGGTTCAGTCCATTTCTGTTCATGTTAAGCCACTATAATATTAATAGATTTGTTTTGGTTGTAAAGATGAAAGAAACAAGTATCTCAACTTTTGCATTCTGCTGTAACCGTAAATATCAGGAGACACCACTGCAATACCTTAACTGGGCTACACCTCTCACTACACAAAAACAATGGCACCAATCATTTAATGACTTCTTACTCTTAAGATCTTATTTTCTTTTGGACTCAAATACCAATAAGTCATTTCTCACTTAAGTGCCAGACCATGGTGACAGCTTATAAGGCTCTCCTTAAAATGTGGACACGGCTAGCAGGCATTTTTCTCTAATTACAACCATCTGACACATAAGACCTACAGAGTCCTCTGGCGCCATTTATCTGGAAAGTTTTGGAAGAGTGTAGAAAAGTTGAAGGTAAAACCTTTCTAGAAATTATAGCTAAAGCATTGGCCAGACCTTTCAAAACTGATATCACCTCTTTCCCTATTAGTGGCAAAATAGGGAAATGCATGGCCTACATTTAGGAATCACCACCACTTTATTGTGCTATGTAAACAAAGATCCATCTTGTAAAAACTAGAGCTTTTACCTTAAATAGCACTAAAAGCTGCTCATCTAATGGCCATTAGGAATATGGTTTTCCACAATCCCATAGCTCTAAATTCCACCTTAGCCAGCATAGGAAGAGTGTAAGCTCTGAACAGCAAAAAATAGGCACATTCCCAAAAAGGAGTGGCTAAAGGTTGAGGAATAGGAACGAGGAAGGTAAATGTTTCGATAAAGGGGTAGAGAGATCTTCATTATGATGGAACTATCTGTATCTTGATTGCAGTAGTAGTTACACAAATCTGCACATGTGATAAAAACTTCTTGGAACTTTATATACACACAGCGAGTGCCTGTAAAACTAGTGGAATATGAATAAATTCTTTGGATTGGACTACTGTCAATTTTCTGGTTTGGATATATAGTCGGCAAGAGATTACCACTGAAGGTGACTGGATGAAGAATACATGGGAACTTATTCTAAATCCTAAAGACCTTTACTTTTGCTAATTAGTAGTCATAAGTTGCTATATTTAATTTTTCCAGCATCAAAAGCTATATGAACAGCTTTGTCATTTTGTCAACAGAAAAGCTTTAGAATTAATCTTTTCTCTTTTTTTTCATGAAGGTATATAAAATGATGACTCTGATAGATTTATAACCCTAAAACTATACAGATAAGTGATTTTTTAGTCCATCAATACCCTGCATCATTATTTCTCTACGTGGGGCTCCCCAACCATTTGTATCAGGGAACTTGTTAGAAATGCAAATTCTCTGTCCCTCCCAGACCTACTCCTGGTGGATTGAGGAAGGGCAGGGAATGTATGTTTAACAAAAATCCTCCAGACAATTTTGATGTACAGTAAGATTTGAGAACCAATGCTCTACACCATCATTGCTGTAAGATATCTGGCAATGTTCACACTAAAAAGAGAAAGCACTACAGACAGACATGCAATTTTAATCTGTGCTGAAGGACCCTCTCTGTTGTGCCTCCAAAATATGTGAATTCCTGATAATCCCTGAAGACTCAAGCCCATCCTGCTAGGTCACAGAACTCTGATTGCTAATTTTAGAATAATTCTTAGAAATTCCATCAAGAATATTGAAAGTAGACAAAGTCTGATTCCTTGATACACATTACAATTATGTTCAACTAGTGTTTGAAAATCACCGACTTTGCGATTGGGATTAATTTTACATCCTTACCTTATAATTCCCTCAGTAAATATTCATTGATTATACTTTTCCATACTTCCCTGTTTAACGCTAGAACTTCTCAAGAAAACCTGCTAATTTCCATGACGAACAGAGTACTCTGATATGGGTAATTCAAATCGAATCCATAATCTCAGAGTCCTTTCTATTTAACCTACAGCCAAGCACATGATCTTTCATTTGTTTATTTTAAGGACAGATTTTCTTCTTAATTATCCTTTCTTAGGCTAATATTAGCAGGAGTTCCCAGTGCTAGAATGGGACTAGCTAACCTGGAACATTCTGAGTCATACTAACAAGAAAAGAGAACCCTAAAACTAGTTACAATTAATTCCTAAAATGTATAAACCATTTGTGAAAACTGAGGCTAAACTGAGCTTTTAATAGTTTCACTCTAGCCAGTCAGTATTCTACCATGGGACGTTGCCCAGCGGCTGGCTTTGATCCACCTCCACGCTCATGCCAGATGCAGAACTCTTCATTTGAGACACTTTACACATCATGGCCAGCGCAGGTTCACACCAGTAATCCCAGCACTGTTGGGAGGCCAAGGGCAGCAGTGGGATCACAACGTCAGGAGATCTAGAGCCATCCTGGCCAACATGGTGAAACACTGTCTTTCTACTAAAAAGTACAAAACATCAGACTGAGTCATAGGGTAGGTGCACGCCTGTAGTCCCAGCAACTAGGGAGCTTGAGGAGAGGAAATCGCTAGAACCCGGGAGGCAGAGGCTGCAGTGAAGGCCGAGATCGGCCACCACGTGCACTCCGGCCTGGGCAACGGATGTTGAAAATCCATCTCTTAAA